CAATCTGCTATTACAGTTTGTATTGAAAACAACCAGGCAAAATACCATTGTATATTACAAGTAATGTAAAACCATAAAAGTGCAGCCTAAGAGGAGTATCTGATCCACTCATACAGCGTTTTGCTCACCAGGAGACCAGGAAAAGAAAAAGTTTGTTGGAATCCTGTGTAATAAAATCATATGACTTCAAAACCCAAAGGTCAGAAGTGACAGCCAAAGCTCTGGTACTTGCCAGCTCAGCAATTCGCTGTGCTCTTCTGTGCTGAAGTTGTACAGTGTGGAAGGTCAAGGGGTGGGAGAGGCCTGTATATCAACCTGTTGTAAAAATTCCATGTAGAAATTGAGAGATAATTACAAAGGGCAGGAGAACTCAGCTGCAAGACTTGTGTAGCAAGATAACTCTACTTCGTAAGCATGATTTTTGTGGTTTTATTTACATTCTAGAATATTTGAAAGTGTTATCCCAAGCCAGGAGTTTTGCCCTAGCCTTGAGATGATACCCACATAAGTTGCAGTTGTGTTATCCTTCCAGAAAGGTGTCCTTACCTTGCTCTACGTAATGTAGCCAGAAGGAGATCACGGTGAGTACCATTAAAAAGCAAGGGAGCTCCAGAGTTTGGTTGTAAGAGGTGGTGTGGACAGGAACCTCTTCTGTCCTTGGTATTTGCATGTATCAGCCAGCTAGTTTCTGCCAGCTGCTCTTTTTCAGCCCTTAAACGTAGATCAGACAGTTGCTTTTATTTCCCTTGTATATTGGAAGGGCAAGGATAGGATATGCTTGACTGGGTGATATAGGAAATAGTGTTTCAAGGAAACTAACTTAATATTACTAGACATTTGTGCTGTCAGGAAACTGAGCGGTGACCGCTTTGTACTTACGCAACCTCTGCAGCATGCTATCATTTTGTTTGTGTGCTGTATCTGGAATTGTGATTTGCTACTCTATTTTTAGCACTGCTGTTTAAAGGAGAAACTTCCATTATCATCCATGCAAGGCGTTCATTTAACTCCGCCACGTCTTCGAACCCGACCATTGCTTTGACACCGTCAGAAATATTGGGCTTGGATGGGCAGCTGCGTGCTTTGGTCGCTCCGTGTGTGTGAGAACACTTACTAGACGGATGGTTCCAGGAGCAGACACAGTGTCAGGCAACATGAAATCGTGCCTTATGATAACTGACTCACCTGCTCCGGTGCTGATTTGGGTAAACTGCCACTTTCCTGATAGTTTGAAAGCGTAGTTTGGGCTGTCTGACGTGTTGAGGTGCAGTCTCACTCCTCTCAGGAGAGGTGCACTTTGTGCTTCTTTTGTCTGAGCACGGTGGGATTTTGCCTGGAAAAATGTGTTGCCTGGAAATGGAATCATTTACAAATAGTTGTTATTGTACAAAATTACACTGGGCTTCAAATTTCCTTACAGAGGTAAAATAAATGTCAACTGCAGAGTGTGTGAACTCATCAAAATAGTTCAAATCAGAGGGTCTGCCCCGAAGTCTGCTTTTGCAGCAGCACTTCATGAAATCCAATTGTCTTAAATATTCACGTAGTCCTCCTACACACACAGAGCTTTCAGCTTTTGAATTGAAGACTGCTACAGCAGAATTGCTAAGATAGAAACAGAACACTGCTTGACTATGCTCTTCACTGTAAAAGTTAAGGAGGCACGTACAGATTATAAACATCCCAAATGGCAAATGGTCTCTATATAATGAAACTTTAAATTTTCAAGAAAATGTTTTTCTTTGACTTGAATTAAACTAGGATTTCTTTTATGGGGAACAGTTCACTATGAACAATCTTGACCATATCTGGTAGTCTGACCAGAATAATAGAGGAGACATGACAATAAAGCTTGAAAAATCTTTGTCAGCCCTTGTTTGAAGAGATAGCAAGATTGAAGACAACCTAATTTGTCTGTGTTAAATCAAATTTTGCTAAGGCAAGAGGTCGCACGTTGCAGAATTTATTGTAATATAAGATAATTAAAAACATTTATTTCACCAAAATGCCGACATTGATCTATTGTGGCAGGAACTGCCTCCTACCCCCCCACCCCACCCCCAGTGTATCTGGACCACTTTGCTTGAGGCTGGCTTGATATGAAGTTGTTTTAAAATAAATGGTGCTGTCTCATGCTCTCAAAACTCTGAGTTCAGTACACCTCTGGAAAATCAGGCCGCTTATGTAAGTATCGAAATAAGGCTGTATCATGCCAGTTTAAAAATTTTGTGACTTTCGCATGCCTCTTCTCCCCATGAAGCAAATAAGGGTGGCATGTAAGGTGTTAGGGCCCTGTTCTTAAGGGCTTTTTCTTATTTGAAATGTCTAAGTCTTGGAGAAGGCAGTTTGATCTGGTGAGGCAGACCTGATGTCCCCGAATGTGGGGGTTTGTTCTTAGCTGGGTTATTGTAGCTGTGGCTGAGCTGTGCTGTGATAGCCCCGCTGTGGGCAGGAGGGAAGTTGAACCTGGTAACTTCCAGAGGTTTTTGCAGCTGATACTCATGTGATTCTGTGATCGGCGTATGATACAGCACAGAAAATGCATACGACTTGCCTAAACTTCATCTTTTTATCAGGATGAAAAAACCAGAGATTCCCTGTGTACACTTGCACTGTCTGCTGTAATGAGCCCTGATGGTGGTGGGAGCCTACAGGTGTCTGTAGGGCAGATAATACAAGAGTAAAAATAAACTGAGGTTGGGGCAGTCTAGTAGCTATTAGTGTAACGTGTGTATGTTGTGGTGCTTCAGCACCAGGATGGGAAGAGAGGCTTAACTTCCAGGCAATGCTGAGAACTACATGGCGAGAGGAGGAGGAGTCACATATGGTGCTGATAATCCATTTAGAAAAGAGGAAAATAGAAATATATATAGGAAAAGCTTTTCTTTCTCTGTTAAAGCTGTACAGTCAAGCATTTTCAAATCAGAAAACTACATATAAAGGTAAAAGCAAAATCCTAGACTACATTAGCGTACTCTTGAGACTCACATAATGGCAAAACAGTTTTATCTTCAAAGTCTGATTTAATCCTTAATGCACATCCCATTGTTTAAATTTGAGATACTGTTACCTCAAATTCTTGTTTTGGCTCTTACTCTAAGGTTTCTTGCAGGGGGAAATGATGCTTTATTTACATTGCTTAATGTGCTGGGTTATGAAAAGCAGATTCCTCTGTAGGAGCACTGCTCACATGTTGCTTTTGTTTAAATAATCACTGTGTCTCAGACTTTTGTAAATGAGCAGGGGCAGTGTCCAGGAACATTAAATTGTGATTGTTTTGGTATTTTTCTGAAGTTTTGTTCAGGTCTGATATTTTTTGCTTTTCTTCTTTATATCAACAACAAAATCTGTGACCATGTAACAACTGCAGTTAGTGGTCACTGTACAGCTTCCCACACTGGGGAATCAAGTCATTGTAAGGCTGGTCGCAGGTAGGTCAGGGATAACCAACTTTTAAGCTTCACATGCAAGACTAATTCTGTTCCTTTAATGGTATGGAATGTTTTGCAATTTTTGCCTCCTTTTGCTATTCTGTTTTCTTTTAAAGAAGGAAGTTCACAACCTAAATGACTTTCTTCTAATAAAGCTTTTACGCCTGCCCCATGTGATCAAGCAGAAGGATGGGAACAGTAAAAACACTTTCTTGGCTGTTTCCATTCGCTGCTTCAGCTTTTGGAGAGGGACTGAAGCCCAGGGCTTGAGCTTTTCATACACGAAGCTGAAAGTCTTATCTCTCATTTCTGTAGTGACCTCATCTTGAGAAGTTACGGGGCTGAGCTGTTCCCTTTCGATTGGCTGCGTGCTGCCAGGCCACCTCTTTCTTCCTTTCAGTGGCTGTTTGCAGAGCCTGGGACTTTGCACCCAGTGTAACTGATCTTACTTTTTAACGAAATGGTTTCTGTTAATGCCATTTTTTTTCCCTCCTCTCAACTTCATATGGAATTTAAGATTGGACTTTGCTCTGTGTTAATTGGCTGAACGCACTTAATTCCTTGTGGCACGAAGTTACAGGCTCGTTGTTCCAGAAGTGGCTTTACCCCAGAAAAGAGCTTTGACAGTGGGCAGCGACTGCAGCGTGACCCCCGGCTGTCGGTCTGGCTCCGTAGGAAGGGGTCACTGTGCCAGGTTGTGGAAAACGGGTCTTTCAGTAGAGTGCATATCGAGAAATGGGGGGACTTTTGACAAGGGACACCAGCTCCGAATTTATATGCAACCTACCAGGAACTTTGTGCAGGGAGAAAGCAGAGAGCAGTGGGAGGAGAAGCTCTTCAGGCTTATGGAAGGCGGGAGATCAGAGAGCAGGGTGTGCTGTTCCCGTGAAGCTCTCCATGTCTTAGTTGTTTAGGAGGGTGACGTGAACATGGTTAAAGAACGTAACATATCTTGCTACATTGAACTAGAAAGGATTAAACCAAAGGACCAGAGCGGTCATAACTAGATGGGGCTCTGAGGATGCCGCTACAAACTGTCCCTTGGTGGATTCAGGCCACTTGTATCACTGTGCTGTATCTAATGCCTTGTCTCAAGGGTTTGCAGAGGAATCCTGAGCTTGTCGGCTGTGCCAGACCTAGAAACAGTGACTGGACTCAAACCATACCCAAGCTGGGAAACACCTGGAGGTCAGTTTCCATCTGACAATGCCATAGTCACTGTGAAGGAACAGCTCGTAGCTGCAGAGTCTTTCACAGTGTTAACCTTTAAGCTTTTGTTTAAAACGTGTGGTGTTTGTTTACTGGGCAATTCCTGCAGTAGGTTACTGAGAGTACTGTGTGAGTGGAGTTTCTATTGGAATAATCTATTTGCTTCTTTTAGGGCAGTAATTATTTACTATGTATCAGCAGTTGTCTGGAAAGTCTAGTTAATTATCAGCTTGCCTCTGTGAAAGTGCACGTAGTGAAAATACTTAAATAAAAATTTGAATGTGTTCTTTTTCCTCTCGTTTCAGGTGCTGCATCCATGTTGTAGTAATTCTCTAAGTACCAGCTCAGACCATCTCCTTGATGCACACTCACGGCATCATGGCCAGTACTCAGGAGCGCCTGAGCTTGTCTTCCTCTCCAAACTCGATTGGCAAAGCTTTCTGTGAAGACAAAGACTTTGGTAGGTTGCATGATGAACATGCACCTACTGGAAACCACCCGTCCCCCGAGCTCATAGAGGATGTGCGTGAGAAGGGCTTGCTGCCGGCAGACCTCATCGAAAACATGAGCAGCCCGGTCACTGCAGCAGTGCTGACCAGCATCAGCGAGGACTCTAGGGACCAATTTGAGAACAGCGTGCTGCAGCTGCGAGAGCAGGATGAGTCGGAAACAGCCATTCCTCAGGGCAACAGGAACACTATGGATGGAGAGAGCAACAGTGGAGCGGATGATGTTAAAGTCCAGTTCAACAGATCAGGCAGTGGGAGTGGTGGGTTTCTCGAGGGACTTTTTGGTTGTCTGAGGCCCGTGTGGAACATCATAGGCAAGGCATACTCCACAGACTACAAACTGCAACAGCAGGGTAAGTAGAGAGGCAAACCTTTATTGCTTCTGGAGGAAAGCAACCTAGGGCTTTTTCCCAGCTCTCCATGGGATCATTTTTGTCTCGTGAAGCCCAATTATGAGTTTGCAAAGAGAAATCCTGCACTCTACAGCCAGCAGCTATCATTTGTAGCAAAGGCAGCTCGCGCTGGAGTCAAAACCAATTCCTTGTTCTGACCTGTGCCTTGGGCCGTTATGACAAGGTCTGAATGTGAACTGAATATTTGTGTAAGTGAGGATCAGAAAGAATTGTGTTGAACACAGAGATTCTACCAACTACTTAATTTATCCATTTATTTTTATGCTTGAGGGAGAACACAGGCATAGCTATTTCATTATGCCAGATGAAAAACATTGATGTGGGCATTTGTCACTACTCCTGTATGTGTGTGTGAAGGCTGTCTTCAGCTGACCACCAAACAGGAGTATTGCTTCTCTGTGGGCATATTATTACACGAACATATCTTTGCATTGCAGGTCTTTTTGTTCAAGAGTAGTTTTACTATTTAAAATGTCATTCAATACTTATTGTTCCAGAAATATATCCTTTCATGTTTATACCTTTTTCATGTAGATGTTTAATTGTAAATGTATAAATGTGTAAGTGTGTGTGAGTATAACTATATATATAAAATATGTAGTTTGGGAATAAGTAATGTGCCAGTCAGTCGTTCACATCTATCTTTAGGGGTTACTGAAAGCTAAAGAGCAGAGTATGCTCTGCCTTTGGTGTCCAATTTCTCCCCTAGCACAGCGGGAGGGAAGTGGCAGATGGGAAAAGAACAATCTGTCATTAGAATTAAGGAGCTGAAATGGTTGAGGCTTATGGAAAATGGGAACAGCCTGGCCACTGTACTATACTGTGGAGTAGAAGTCTCCTGTATTACTGTGATCATGATTCAGTATTAATCAAATGATTTTCTGGCACAGGCAAATGATATGTGGTCAGGAAATCCATCCAAGTGGTTTGTATCTAAACCCCAGAGTTGAGTTGGGGAACAGTTCCTAACAGAGGGAACAGAGCTGTTAAATAACATGTTGGGTGAATCTGCCTTGAAATAAACATACTTCTTTCTAGAGTCAATCATTTCCAGTTCATCGCTCTGATCAGGGAAATCCTCCTCTGTGTTGCAGAAGGGCAGATGCCTCCTTAGGAGCAGCCCCTTGCCTGTCAGACCTGAGTGCTCAGCAATACTTTACTGGGTTTTGAAGTCCTTTGACAAAGTTTGTTCTAAGATTTTTCTGTATGTTGTAAACTCAGTATGTCACACGTGGCCGAATCTATTAAAAAAAAAAAGAGTCTGAAAACTCCTTGGGGAGTTTACACTGTTGGGGTGCTTGCACGGTGTGTGGAGTTGGATGTGGTGAGATTTGAAAGAGACTGTGTCTGACTGGGGAACCTCCTTGGTGACGGAAAATGAACTTCAGAGCAATAGGAAAACATTCAAGGTAGAGACGCGGTGTCAGTATGTCTGTGCTACGCTGCTTTGTTCTGGGTGCTGACACTTTCCAAGGAAAGGACACAGATGCAGCGTTACGTGGGCTGCTTCCAGCAGCTCCGTGCCTGTCCCGTACAAGTGGTATCTCACCAGGTCAGACTTCCCTCGTCACCAAGAGCTGCTTGGCCATCTCGTGCTCGAGTGTGCCTGTAAGTTCAGGTGGGTCGCTTCAGGAAAGCTACCTGGGAGGCAAAGAGATCATATTTCGCTTATAATTGGGACAGCAGATGCATCGGAGACCACAGTTTAATATGTGCTTTCATGGCCCACAAGGGACACTTTCCTTTGTGTGAAAGTCACTAATAAAATAGATGGAAGTGCTAACTAATGAAAATGAGCAGCTGAGAGCATTGTTGTGTTTGGAAGAGTGTACACAGAGCCCCTCTCCATATGCACGGAGCTGTCTTGCTGTTCTCAGTGTCATGAGCGTGTTCAGAGCTATAGTTTCACGGATGCAGTTTGCTGTTGGCATTAGGCCCTTCCTAAAAGGGCAATTTTGAAATGGCTGCAGATGTGGTAAGGCTGAAGATTAGTTGAGATCTGCTATATATGGCCTATGTGGTTTAGCTGCATCTCCAATGTCTTCGCTATCATAAGTGGGAGTGAAAAGAAGATTTTTTTTTTTTTCTGTTTTTTAAAATTTTCTTTCTCCTCTGGAGCTTATCATTTGGACAGATCTCTGATGGTAGTAGTATGCTTCTGTTATCCAAGAATAAATCTTTTTAAACTGCTCCTGTGCAAAACTTGAGGATTTTGTCAGAATATTCATGTTCTGTTTGCCAGATGATCTCATTCCTGCTTTTTGCTTCTTGCAACCAGAAAATCTTTTTTATGTGCATTTCATCAGTTACATACAAATCACCAGTTTAGTAACTGATCTATGTAATTGCTTTTATTTTTGCTGTCTTTTAGCAAGAGGATGCAAGGTTTGTGTTTGTGCAGGTGTTTGCATTTTGAGAACACAGGCTGAGGAAATTTCTCTGGCCCTTATAGCAATAAAGAGAGTCTTGCAGTGGCCTTTCTTTCCTTTGGGAGCTTATTTACAGCGTTGGACTGGTGCCATAGATCTGTGCAGGTGATTTTTTTTTTTTTTCCTCCCCTTTTCATGAAACATCTACTTTAAGCCTGTTCCAGGAGGTGTAGTGGTTGCACTTACTAAAATATAGGTCGGTTTCATGCCCTTTGCAAATGTCTGATGCTTGAGTCCATGTTTTCTGCAAAGGCTTGGCTTTTGACTTGGTGAATGAGGGAAAAGATAAGAACAATTTTTTGCATGATTCCACATTATCGTCTTGTTAAAATTCTCCTTGAGTTTCCTTCCCATCATGTGAGATGGCCGTCAAGAGGGGAGTACATTTCTGTGCCTCCCTTGAGGACTCACGCTGGGCAGAGCTTTGATCAGCTGGAAGTTGCTGCTGGTTGACTTAAGAAGCGCCAGTTGCTGCTGTTCAATGCTCTACCTGCTTGGTGAGTCGTCATTCCTACAGGGAGGGTTTGCTTTTATATTGTTCAGTGGGTGCCAGTTGATTATCTGAGGTTTAAGTATTTTGGGTTTGACCCCTAAGCTCATTCCTGACTAGCATTTTCCATTTCTTCACCCTGATTTCCAAAGGGTGAGTGCTTTCAGGGAGATATATTTACTTCTTTAATTTCTGTCTACTGGTTATTTAATTTGGATTCTTGGGACTCTAGCACTTTATAGAAAAACTTGTTTGTGTTTTCTGCAGACTCGTTAGACTTTTTAGCCATTGCCTTTGGATTCAGAATCTGTCTTCAGCAGTTGCTTTCACCTTCCCTTTCACAAGTTGCATGCTTACCATCATCACGTGCATTTTTGTGTAAACCTGGAGAGCAAGGTGCTTTACAAAGTGTGCTTGTGTTAGTGTTTTCCTTTGTAAACTAGAGATGCTTCTTGTCATAATGCCAGTGCTGGAGAGCAGCCAGTGCTGGCAAACGGCAGAAGTTTGCTTCAAATAGATTCATATGGACTCAGTGGCTCAGACTGCTCCTGCGTTTCTTCCCCATGGGAAACAGATTCCCATCATTCTACTCAAATGGTTCTTAATCACCTTAGAAACGCAAGCTCTTGCGTAATTCCTGCCGCTATTACACTTTATTTAGGGGAAGTATCCCACAGGCTTCTTCAGGCCCAGAAGAGTTTGGAATAAAAACAGCTCCATCCTGGTAGGAGACCCCCTTGTCTCTTTTCCCCTGGAGCAGCGGGGAGTGCTGGGATAGCTGTAGCAAGCTCTGAAGTCTGGGCAATCTCAAAGCATATTTATCCAAGCAATATTACCAACCTGCACCTCAGGAAGTCTCCCATCATCCCCACATCACCACAGGCAAATCAGAGCTTAAGTCAGTCCAGCAGTTCAACTACCTAGGAAGTATCATTTCTTCAGATGGTAAGATTGACAAAGAGATAGACAACAAGTTCACAAAGGCAAACGGAGCTTTTGGAAAACTCCATAGAAGAGTCTGGTGCAATAAACACCTGAAGAAAAGTACAAAGATTAGTGTCTACAGAGCCGTTGTACTGTCTGCTCTTTTGTATGGGTCTGAATCATGGGTCATCTACCGCCACCACCTGCGACTCCTCGAACGCTTCCATCAGCGCTGCCTCTGTACAATCCTGAACATCCACTGGACTGACTACGTGACTGATGTTACTGCCTTGAATGGGCAGGGGTCACCAGTATCGAGGCCATGCTGCTGAGGACGAGCTGTGCTGGGCAGGGCACGTCTCCAGGATGGAGGATCACCGCCTCCCTAAGGTTGTGCTCTATGGTGAACTCGCCACCGACTGCTGCAACAGAGGAGCCCCAAAGAGGATACCTGAATAGCTCAGTTTTGGCCATGTTGACTACCATCACTGGTCCACTCTGGCCTCCAGTCGGGAGACGTGGAGACACACCATCCATAACGCTGCTGCCTCCTTTGAGAACGCACGTAGAATTAGTCTCGAGGAGAAAAGACAAGACAGAAAGAACCGTGCCTTGCCAATACTGCCTAAGGAGACTTTCCGCTCTGCCTTTTGCAACCGGACTTGCCTATCCCGCATCAGCCTTTTTAGCCATCAGTGCACATGTAGCAAGTATGGGTAGAGCCCTTCCCATATCTTCATTCGTGAAGCCTAGCCACGATAATGATGATTAATGGACTTTTGACCGATGCTGGCAGTACATGAGTAGTGTGGCCAGATGTGGTTCCTGGCCACCCTGCTGATCGTCTGAGATGTTACTCTTCTAGACAGACACTTTTTCTTACCCGTGGTTCGTCATCATAGCCAAGTTCTTGTGACTGGTTTATGCAAGCCCTTTTCTGTTTCAGGCTGTCGGTTGAGATGACAGAGTTCTCGGCATCACCTCTTGCACATGGTGTTTCTCGTTGTACCTGCTGTGTAGATGTGCCATAGCTGGGACAGCTGTAACTTGCCATTCTTTGCTTCAGGGCACTGTGGGCTGCTCAGGATGGGTCTGTGCAGGCAGTCGGGAAAGCTTTGTAACCTGCTGTCCGGGCGATGTGCATGGTCTCAACTTCCAGCTCTATTCACTTGGTGGTGTGCAGTTTCAGCCTTGCCTATTGCCCCTCTGCAGAGCTGATAGGACTAACTTTGTAATTCTGACCCTTGTCAGCGTGTTCTCCTGGAGGATGGACCCAGGGAGCTGTAGGGAGCACATAGACAGGGTAATGTAGATGTATTTTTAATCTGTGGATTTGGGTTGTAGTAGAAAAGGCAGGTTTGTACCACTAATGCTGACCAACCCTGGCTTTCAATTGGCTGAAGTTCAGTGCTTTTCTTCACCAGCATTTCTTTCTTTGGGAAACCTTTCAGTGCCTGATTTGCCAAGCAAATTGCTGTTGTTGGCTCTCTTAAAATGTGGGAACGTGCTCCTGTAGAGTGAAAGGTGTGGGGTTGTTGTGAGGGGTTTTTTGTGTGTGATTTTTTTCTTTTTTTTCCCTTTTTTTCTTTCTCACTCTTTATTACATATGGTTTGGCTCTTTGTTCTTCTTGAAATTCCCAAAGATGTAAGATGTTTCACTGACTGTTGCTCCACTGAAATCTCTTCTGTGAATCATACCCTTGGTGATCAGGGTGCAAGTAGGATGTGGGGAAGGATATGTCTTACCAAATAAACACGAGAGGACTTTGCAGGAGGAATTGCATGAGCTTTTGCTTACTTCCTTTATAGTCTCTCTCTGCCTTTGCTACTGTGGAGGTTAATTGGTAATATTAAAAGCAAATTAGAGCTCCTAGGTGATACCAATGTAGTTACCCATTACTGCTCACAACCTTTGTGTGCTTCAGGGAAATAAATGACAGTGTTGCGTGCCTTGTGCCAGAAAGGCAGTCTTCTCACATGTAAATGAAACAGCTATTTCAGTACAATGGAATAGTTTCGATGTTGCCCATGTAAAATATACTGTCATCAACAAACATAAAAATAACTGTATTTGTCACCCCCTTTCAGAAGCAGTGCATTTGTGAGATAGAAATACTGATTGTCTGAATTCATTTGTGAATTCCCATATTTTCTTCAGTTTTTGTTTATTTAAAGAACTGTCTTTCAATGCGTAAGTGCCTAAAGGATTAAATACCAATTCTAAGTATTGTGACAAAAAAATCGCTCAACTTGTTTGGTGAAGAAGAACGTTTATTATTTTAAAATACTGACCACTGTTCTATGTCAAGATAGTGGTCCCAGCATGTTTCATGCATCAGTTTCTGTGAGGTTCTTACATGAACAGGTGTTTCTTGCTTCAGTACCAAAGCACACTTTTGCTGTTAGGGAATATCACTTTCACAATGTCATGGCATTCTTGACAATTGAGGATACGGATCGTCTCCAGCAAATCCACGGTTACTGGGGTTGTTCAGTTGTAAAACATTTCAGTTGAGAGCTGCCTGCATTGTCTCAGTATTTTTGTACAATGTAAGGCTGCAAGTGGATACATGGATATGAAAAATAGACTTGTGTGTGTGAAGAAACATGTGCCGAGGATTGAACTTTGCCCTGCCAAGTCAGAGGAAATTCTTGCTGTAGATTAACAGTATTTCTTTTCTAGTTCAGTGAGCAGAACAAGTGCTGGGGTCTGGCTGTGGCTTTCCTTGGCCATAGGCATTCGGAGGAGAGCAGTCATTCGCAGGAGACATCCAGCTGCTGTCAGACTGTCCCAGGAATGGTTTGAGGGAAAGATTCGAATCAGGACCCGTCCAGAGACAATTTGGGTATAAAATTGCTCTTTAGTGGTGGCAGAATCTGAAGTGGATGCTTGTGAATAATCCCATTTGCAGCCCTGGGAACACCCAACTGGCTGCAAGACTGGATGAAACAAGGAGAGACCTTATTGTAGTGATCTGGAATAGGGATCTGTACAGGTGCGACTTTATTTCAGAAATCAGTGGGTTACTTATTGGTTTTGCTGCTAAATAATTTATTTTCTAAATTTACAGATTTATTGAGTTACAGTGAATAAATTATTACCTGCCTTTTATCTTGCTGTTTGTGGGATGTTAAGGTAATTTCAAGGTGACTCACAGACAACAAGGCTTCCTGTTCTGATGGGTACAACTGTCTTGAAACGGTTTATATGTTGCTACTGGAACACTCTGGCAGTATCCCTGCAAGATGCATGGGGGTACCCAAGAGAAGGAGTTCCTTAAGATTTTTTTTTTTTTGGCCTGTTTGACACTGATATACAAAAGGTTGGTGTGGGCAAGGCCTGTTTCTGTTACTGGTGGTGCTTTGCGTTGAGTAACTTGGTGGTTGCTGGTCTGTATTTTACAACCTGCCAGCTCTGACTTTTTTTTTTTTTGGTCAATTGTGAGTCTCACCTATGCTTTTCAATGGTTTCATCTACTTTATGAGACATACTATCATCAACCAGTTTTGGAGTAATGGACCTCCTCTCTAAATTACCAATCCGGTATCCCTTGTATGTTGAATTGCTGCCTGTGAAGCAGCTGCAAAGTCAAAGCAGTTCACCCAAGTGATTAGCAGTGATGGTGAGCTGTGTTGAAAAAGCAGCTGGGAGGATGGAAAGGAACATGCAGGAGGTGACTGTGATGAAGGGGAGGAGCTGGACAAAAGGGATGCTGGGGCTGAGTGTGCGTGGTCTGTGCCTCAGCTGCGCCTGTACTGGGACAAGATCCCGTCTACTATGCCCAAAAAAGTCTGCCCTGAGATTTAGCAAGGGAGATGGCAGGTGCTGTCCTGGGATGATCTTGCAGCAGAACATTTTTGTGGTCTTGATCTTTTATGTTATACTCTTTGTTTGCCTGTGCCTAGATACATGGGAGGTCCCATTCGAGGAGATCTCGGAGCTGCAGTGGCTGGGCAGCGGTGCACAGGGAGCCGTCTTCCTCGGCAAATTCCGGGCGGAGGAGGTGGCCATCAAGAAAGTGAGAGATCAGAACGAAACAGACATCAAGCACTTGCGGAAACTCAAACATCCTAACATCATTGCGTTCAAGTAGGTTGTGAAATTTGTTAGAAACATACCTTTATCCGGGGAAGATCATTTGCTTATGTGCCCTGGCCAAGTTTTTAAAATCCACAAACCAAAGGTGTCATCCTTCCTCTCAAATTGTCACACATTCTCGCAAAAACAAAGCTATGGACACCATTCTCACCCAATGCTGGACTTTGCTTGCAGACTCCCCAGACGCCTGCTGTGAACCCTACAAATCAGCAGGGGTGGAAGCTGAAGGAAACACACCCCTGTCACGAGTGAGGTTCCTCCTCATGTCCCAAGTATGCAAGGAACATTCCCCTTCCTGCGCAGGAAGGATTGCTGCTAGCAGAGCCTTGCCCTGGCCGAGTAAATAGGTTACCCTCCTGCCCCCCTGATTGCAACCCTTGAGTGTCTGAAACTTTATCTCTACTGATCCTCACTAGCTGTGTGTTTGCTTTGACAGGGGAGTTTGCACTCAGGCCCCGTGCTACTGCATTATCATGGAGTACTGTGCCCACGGACAGCTCTACGAAGTCCTGCGAGCAGGGAGGAAAGTCACCCCTCGGCTGCTTGTGGATTGGTCCACAGGGATTGCAAGTGGGATGAATTATCTGCACCTTCACAAAATCATCCACCGAGACCTCAAGTCACCAAAGTGAGTCTTTAGCTACTTAAACATCCCCCAGTTCTGGTTGTTTTTTGTTTTTGTCTTTTTTTCTTGAGGAATAGTTTAAAGTTAGCTCAAAAGCTCTGTTATTTGTTTCCATGTTGACTCAAAAGTAATGAGTAAAGGCAATGAAACTCTTTGGCACTCCCTTCCTGTGCTGCAATTTGACAAGACTGAAAATTCCACCAGGGTCCTACATGAATAATAACAATCAGGAAATATTTCTAATAATTTGATGGTGTCTGGCCCTTTTTGAAAGTGGAATGCTCTGTTGCCTTCTGCTTTTTAATTTTTCCTATTTGTTCTTTTGTTATTTCCCTGGTTTTCTTCAATGCATCTTTCTCATTTCTCTGTTGCATTCTGACTAAAACTATCTGGCTGCTTATATTCTTATTCCCTAGATATTTATCACTTCTTTAGCCTGTGACTTGACTGTCACAGTGCAACAAGATAGTACTTAGATATGGTTTACAGTGCAGTTTAAGGTATAGCTTTACTAAAACTTTGAAACATCCCCAGATATAGTGAATCTTCAGTGACTTGTTAGTTTTCAATATTATCAAGATTGATTTTTTTACATGCACCATTTAGAAATGTATTTGATGTGCAAAACAACTACCCCAAAGAAAGTGAGTGCTTTTGTTTGTGAAAATGCATAATCTTTTTTCGCTGCAGTTATGGACAGCGTGGCTTCGTCAACTGTTTGTGTTGATTAAAAAGGGATTTATTTCCAGTGGTGGCTGCTCTACAAGAGAAATGGCAAAGTGCTGATCTCTTTATTTTTTTTGTTCTCTTCAGTGTTTTAGTTACACACACAGATGCAGTAAAAATTTCAGATTTTGGTACATCTAAAGAGCTCAGTGATAAAAGTACCAAAATGTCTTTTGCGGGAACTGTGGCTTGGATGGCCCCAGAGGTGATACGCAATGAGCCTGTCTCTGAAAAGGTGGATATCTGGTGAGTAGTATTAATGTTTAAGTATCTTCATCGTCTGTTTAACCGCTTGGTTTCCCAGCACTTATATATTCGGTACTCCTTTCTCATCCTAGGCCGGGGGATAGTTTGTTCGGTGTTGGACTATTCTTTTCTCCATTTGCCTAGGGTGCTGAACTTTGTTACTGAACCATGGGCTATAATGGAAAGAGAAATTACATTAATGTGTAAAAGCTGTGTGTTGAGATCTGAAGGTAGCTGATGAGACTCAGTTGCAGGCTGGATGTGTCTTGCACTAAGCAAATGCAACAGTTCTTCCCTGTGTCATTACGACAGAGCTCTCTTCCACTCCTGGTGCTCAGGGTCCCCTCAGCAACTTCTGCAGCCAGGGTGTTCTTCCCTTGCTTTCTACCTGCCTCAGGGCCACACATGAGCTGTGGGGAGGCCTCTACTTTCCTGCCTTGAAGCGTCTGACCACCTGTTGCTTTCTGCCTACTGGGCTTGGCCGTTACATGTACGGTCACACGATTATAGTCCAGCAAATCTAACCCCGAATCCAAGAGGGAGGAAACCAGGATACACTGTAAGAGTTTTGAACACCTATTTCCTTCCCAAGTGAAGTGTATTTTGTGTCAAAATAAACACAAGGAAAGGTTTAGATCTGCGTGCTATTAAGTATGCTTGAGAGAGGACTCAATCTTGGAGCTCCTTTGCGATGCCTCTCCACAAGTTCCAGGGTCGTCAAGGGAACACATCTCCATATCTGCATATTAAATGTCAATAGCCAGGACAAATGCCCTTCTCCCTGCTTGACAGCCAGATGAATTTTCCTTCTTGTGTTTTTTCAGCTTCAAATGCTGTCACCTTCCCTAAGCAGCATGAAGCTGCAGGTAAAGCCACGGGTGGTTTGGCGTGAGTGGAGTCAGACATCAGCCTGCTGCTGGTGTTTTAGCTCAGAGCTGAGTCGTGGTTTTAAGTCAAGATTTCCTGCAGGGACAGAGAAAGTATTGTCCTGCGGGGAAAGAGAAAGTCTTGTAATTTGCAGTATACAGCTCTTGTGCCTGCAGTGCTTTGCATGTTCATTTTGTGTGGATGTAGCGGGCCATAGCTCAGACGAATCTTCTAGGAGAAACTCTTGGATTGTTCTGGAAAGAACATGCACTCGCCGTTTGTCTTCCGAGTTGCCCCCTTGGAATCATAGATTCATGAGGAGGGATGGTGCTGGATTTCCACCCTCAGCTTTCTGTCCTTCAGAGTGGCTGATGTTCAAGAATATTGTGTGGAGTATCATGTCCAATAAAAAACAGCTGCTAGCTCTCCTGAGTGAGGACTGTGGGCTTTCCTTTACTCCTTTCCTCTGTGACTTAGAGATGCTTTGTGCATCTCTCTTAGAGGTGCTTTGTGCAAATCTAGAGGTGCCTTTGATACAGGTTCCTCTTGGGTTTGCTGCAGTGGTGATTGTGCAGACTCCTCCTTAACATCCATTCCTGCCCCAAGATGAGTAAAAGCGATGTTCATGATTGCTGACAACAAATGAGAACAGTTCCTAAGCTGCTTATATGCCTGCGCTCTCATCTTTAACAGCACACTAAAAAAATAAAATCTATAATCTTACCGGGAGTCTTGAAAATCCTTTTTTAGTTCTTGATCATAACAAAGCTGAAACCATATGGGGTTTCCTAGTAGTTTGTTCAGCCACCTGGATCCCTACTTTCCTGCAGCCCATGGAAGAAAAAAATGAGGGAAAGTGTTCAATTTCTGCTTGCTTTGTGTTTTATTCCCCCCCCCTCCGCCCGCCATGTGATTTGAAGCCACTGGGCTTTGGAAGTTTTTCACATGAGTTCTGTTTCCTGACTGATGGTTGTTCAAAAACCTCAGGCAGTTTATCCCTTTGATGTTCTTCTGTACTTAATAAAAGCAACTTGATATTAATAACGCCACTTTTCACCTGGTTTGACTTGCCAGAAGGTTTAGCAGGGTCGGAGTCTCACCGATGGATGGGGCATGCAAGTAAGGTGATCTGTCGGGGTCTGTAATTGAGATGGTTGTACCTCACCTCCTGTCGCAGCCTGGCTGTTAATCTGCAGTAAGAGTGGGGCTGGTTCTCAGCAGCTTGGTTTTTGTTTAACCTATGCATTGACTGGTTTGATCTCTCTTTACTGTTTTTTTTGGGTGAAGGTGGTAAATAAATAACTCTTTGCTGTTATAAATTAAGGTTTTGGTCCTTACTGACCATTTCACCAAGAAAAAAGAAGCAATGTGAATTTTCTTACCTACATCTTTCAGTTCTTGTAATACGGCGTTCTTTTCCAAGCAGAGTTCTCTCAATTTTTTCTTCCTTTAGCCTCCCTCCCTTCAGCACCGAAGAAATATCAGATGTGCTTTTGATGCTGACATTTATGCATGTTTCATTTGTTTCTTAATTCCTTTGTTTCAGTAGTTGTGCTGAGTCTCAAACTTATGAAATCTTACCTAGGAGTATACATAACAGCAGAGGGAGCTTTTGACTAGGGAAAAAAAGAACTTAAAATGTAGAAGCAAAACCACAAAACCTTTGTTGTGTTATCTCTGTAAGACACTTACCAGTTTGGTGTGTTCAGCAGTAGACGATCTGTTCTTACCAATAAGAACAGTCAGAAGTCTATCTCAGAAAAGCTAACTTTCCTTTTCATTTTAGAGGATTAAGATTTAATCTATACAGAAAATGTGCTTTTGGGATTTTTTTTTTTCCAGATTTTTAAAATCTCGTGAAGAAATAGGAAATGATGGGTGAAAAACGGTGTGGTTTGGTGTTCAGGCTAGTGCTGGGGCAGAGGAAGAAGAGTTACTTGATGTGTGAAATAGCTATTCTTGGCTAAAAGTACGTAAACACTGTTGCACCTACTTGCAATTTCAGATCAGACATATCTATTTCACTGTTTTGCCAAACAAACTGTTCTTTTCAAGCTCCAGATGTTTCTGTTAAATTGAATTCTCACAGAAGCTTTTATCCTGGTTTATTTCTTCATCAGGTCATTTGGGGTAGTTTTGTGGGAGCTGCTTACAGGAGAGATTCCCTACAAGGACGTGGACTCTTCAGCCATCATTTGGGGAGTGGGCAGTAACAGCCTGCACCTTCCTGTCCCTTCTACCTGCCCAGATGGCTTCAAAATCCTCATGAAGCAGACCTGGTAAGAGCCTGAACTCCACACTGTACAGACCTAGGACTGGCTCCCGACTCTTGCCAGTCTCCTAGTAAAACCCACAAACCCAGAATCGAGGTGGAAGTGTTGAATAAACCCAGAGCTGATGGGCTCTTAAATCCTCTCACAATTGTCATGAGAGCAGTAAGTTTTAACATTTTGTGTTCTGCTTCCTTATGGCAGCAGGCCAGGCCTCAGAAGGACATTTGAAACTTAGAGGAAATATGAAGAAACCTGTCTGGTTTGCTGGGTGGACAGGACAGGGGAGGAAGCGAGCAGACGCTGTTGAGATGGGCTGGGCAGGGGAAAGGAGTAGAACAGGAGAGAGGTGAGGGAGTAGAGCTTGATGGGAGCCCCGGCAGAGTGACAGTTACCCATGAGCTGCTTGTCCAGGGTGAATCAGCAGCAGAGAGTGTGAAGGTCGTCTCCAGTAGCTTTCACAGGAGGTGATAAAAGGTGGCCCTCTGAGAAGAGAAAAAGACCTGGAAAGAAAATAGGAGTAATGTTTCTTGAGGCTGGCTCCAAAGTGAATGGAAATGATTTTTCACTCTGAAACCCCCTTGTAAGTGACTGGCTTTTGAACTGGACAAATTGAAATTTGAGTTTTCTGTATGAAACCAAAATTTTGCAAATATAGATTTGGAAAATGCTTTCGTTTTTTTCCACATGCCAGATTAGAGTTGTGTTACTGCATTAATACTTTGTAACTGCTTCATGACACAAAACTTTAGTCTTTCAGTATTTTCCCTCTCAATGATTTTTTTTTTCCAGCCATTCTCTCAATGGCACAAGGGGAAAACCTGGCCAGAGCATCTGTGGATCTTTTCAAGTGGCTGTTTTCCCCTCTGGCCCTGAGCAATAGCAAGTCGGGCTGTTGCAGTATCTGTGCTCAGTGTGTTCTGCCCGGCTGTGCTTCCAGGCACGGCTGCGAGAGGCAGCGACCAGCTTGTGCGGCGCTGAACACTACCTACACTTGTACCCCATCTAGTGGAAGTGGTTGGTTGTGATGGAGTAGTGGCTGAAAAAGCTATTTCTTGTCCCGAGCACTGAATCTGTGCAGCGAGTCTGGTGGCTTCAGTCCTGAAGCTTGAGCGGTGGTCTCTCTCTTTTTTTTTTTTTTTTTTTTTTTTTTCCCCTCAAAGGTACAAGTGATTTTGGATTCGAATGGGGTTTTAGAGATGTTCACTTCATTACAATACTGTATAGGCTTGGGCATGTACTATGTGGCCACATAGATACATTTGGTGTTTGTAGATATCGCGTTTCATTGAATGTAAAATATAATTTCTCGTAGATTGAGTATTCCCATTATAAAATTTGGAAAGCAATGGGATAATGAACTGAGATCTGTTTCTTTTTGACACAACAACTTAGGAACAGTTTCAGTTCATGTCCTGTCTTTCAGTTTGTAATCTTGTTTTTGTATTTTAAATGGTTTTTATCTATTTTGTTTCTTTAGAATAGATCACCACGAACCAAAACCTGAATACAAAACAACTCTGGTACAATAAACTTGTACTCTGCAAAAGAGAAAATCAGGAAAGCTCCTTTTCTCTAATTTGTCAGCTGCACGATTTAGACAGTATAAACCCGTTCAGAAGGGTAGGAAAAGCTAACAGCAGTAACCTCATCTCATGCTTGGGTATTTGCCTGTTTTGCTGCAGGCAGAGCAAGCCTCGGAATCGTCCGTCCTTCAGGCAGACACTGATGCACCTGGATATCGCATCTGCTGATGTGCTGGCTACTCCTCAGGAAACGTATTTCAAATCACAGGTAACTGGAGAGTGGCTGTAGCCCATGAGTACTAGAGGTAGCTCCCAGGATCTGATTTTGGAGGCTACGTTAAGTACAGCATAAGTCTGTATCAGTGATTTCAGTCTGATTCCTGAGGAGAAGCAAACTGATGGGTATTTTTAAATCTTTTACCCAAGCTTTCACAAGCTGAGACATCTGCTGGTTTTAGTGAGAAACTCAGTGTTATCTCATTCACTTCTCCCTGAGACTGCTGACTTCAGATGTTCTGCTCGCAGCTGTTCTCCCAGTACTGTGGTGCAGGAGACCACGAGACTGCTGAGATCAGAGCTATTGCATTTATAGTGAAGAGGAGCAGCCAATGGACAAAGCTGTTAGAGGGCAGGGAAGGGCCCCTGGGACTTTCAAGGAAGATCTAAAAGTATGTTCTTAAAGATTCCTCTGAGTCCTGCCTAGTGAGCTTTCGTCTGCTCCCAGGGAGGGAATGAGAACGAAACCTTGGCTCCAGCGCAGAGGATCTGTGCAGTGTTGGAGTGTGTGTGAGGGAGTGAGTGCGCTTATTAAAGCTGCAAGAGCCAGAGCCTCAAGGCACAAGTAGGGTTAGTATCACCCTAGTGACAGTCATCATTGTCATGAATATAGGTTTCCGAATCATAAGTCTTCCTGTTTACTTTAAATGCCAAAATGGAAGAAAATGTTGTCTTAGGATGAAAAGAGCTTTAGGAATTTTTTAAAATATTTTTTAGAAAATGCAGATATATTTTAAATTTTCTAATCTGAGCACAAAATTGGAAATGCCATTTGAAAATGCTGAAGCTATAAACATGCTTCAATGTTGTTACCTAGAATAATTCAGCTAACGGAAAAAACACTTCCAACCCAACCTGTAATTTTCTGCAGGCACGGAGAATGCTGCCCAAGAGCTTTTCTTTGGTGCAGCCAGAGATGCCAGTCCTTTGTAAATACTTTGTAAATTGTTTCCCTAGGCTGAATGGAGAGAAGAAGTGAAGAAACATTTTGAGAAAATTAAAAGTGAAGGAACTTGTATTCACCGGCTAGATGAAGAATTGATCCGCCGTCGAAGAGAAGAGCTGAGGTCTGTTGACAGTCTTGTGTTTACTGCTCACTTTTCCCATCCAGCCTTCTCTTTTTCAGCTAAAGGAGTGCAGCTCCCTCACCTTCTTTTCACAGGGCATGTACTCCCCTGACTGTTTCCATGCTCCTAGGCCTTGTGCGTTGCTTGGCTGAGAGAAACAGTAGAAACTGTCACAGCTCTTGGGCAGTCCGAACAGTTTGCTTCAGGCAAGAGGGACGAAGGCTTGCATGTTTACCAGGGAATATTTCTGCCCGAGTTTCAGTGTTTGTGATAACAGCCCTGAAGATGGTACATCCACCTAGGTATAAAATGCATCTCGTAGTTTGCTGTGAGCTTTCTCTGCCCTCACACTTTCCAGAGAAGGGAACACAGTCCCAGCCCGCTGGGAGAGGACACACCATCAGCACACTGAAACTCATTTTGAACGTTAGACCAACTTAGAAATGAAAGCAGAGTGTTCTTAAATAAAGTTTTATCTTCAGTGACACAAATTTGCAGATATAGTTATGACAGAGAAACATAAAACAGCAAGTAGCAGTTTAATGCCACACTTGAGAAACCAAAGGAAACCTGTTCAGCCAGTCTGATGTAGTTATTGATCAGTGTTCCCTAGCCTTGGGGAGCTTTGATGGTCACATCTTTCAGCTGTGGTTCAGGATGTTCTCTGCAACTGTTCTGTAGCTTTAGAGGCACATTGCTTTTTATGAAATACAAACAGATTACTTCTTCCCCTATTTTGTTAGAAGCTGACTTAGTCCCTTCGTTGTGCAAACAGAGTGATCAGGGCTTGGCCAAAGGGCTTGTGGACGCGTGTGAGGTGTTTGCAGCTTCTCTAGTGAAAAGCATCGCCACTCTTCCACAGAATCACAGAAGACTGTTAAACACTTTCTAAATCATATCATTGCTGTGTCAAGCTCTTAATCGTCCGTGTCTGGGGATCAGTGCAAATACAGCTGGCAAATTTGACTTCTAAAAGGCCTTTTCCTGTGCTTTTCCTTAGTCTCCTCTCTTGGTCTGTGGACATCAAGTTGTGGAATAATGACTTTTCTGTTTTTCAGACATGCTTTGGATATCCGTGAACATTATGAGAGGAAGTTGGAGCGAGCCAATAACTTATACATGGAGCTCAGCGCTATTATGCTGCAGCTGGAGGTCCGTGAGAAGGAGCTCATAAAGTATGTATCTCTGGGCATCATGGCATGCCGTGCATGTGGCAGTGTGCATACAGGAGGAAAAAAAGAAACAGAACGCCACTTAGAAACGGATTAGTGGTGCTTGGAAATTTAATGTCCTCTGACAAACTTCTGGGGTGAAAAAAGCAGAAAGAAGCCCCTGAACAGTAGATTAGTGCAGACTGCTTGGTGCACATACCTTTACTCAGTGTTTACTGACTGGGAGAAAGGCACCTTTCCCAGCTGGTGTTGGCGTCATTTGGCCCCTTGGTAAAGAGAAGAGCAGTGCTATTTCCAGAATGTGCACCAGGGCCCTGTTACAACTGCCTGATCTCTGCAGAGAGAGATTTAGAAAATGTCTATGTCCTTTCCCAGAAGAACGTGTTTGTGTTCCACCCAGCCGTAGCTGCGGAACAGCCATGCTTTGTGCTCACAGTGGAGCTGTGTTTCTGTCCAGCAGGAGTTGCGGTTGCATAAAGAGACAGCTGATCTAGGTTGGTTTTTTTTTATTCTCCAATGTTTCAGGAGGGAACAAGCGGTGGAAAAGAAATACCCTGGGACTTACAAACGCCACCCAGTCAGACCAATAATCCACCCCAATACAGTGGAAAAGCTAATGAAGAGGAAAGGAGTCTCGCATAAACCAGGCAGCCAAACTAAACGGTAAGAAGTAAGAGCTGAGTTCTGTGCCAGGAATGAGCAGTAGATCCCCACTGAGGTGAAGAGGCAGCTTACTTCCCTTTGAGTCTGATGACAATGCAGGACAAGCCAAAAATATCCTCACACTTGGGCCTGGTCTGATCCTTAGAATCCCAATTGTTTAATTACCTGAAGGTAAAAGGGATGAATCCTGCAATCCCTTCTACCTGGGCAGCTCTCTGAGACCATTTGGTCCACAGGATTTTTTTCACGGATGATGGTGCTTTGACAGGAGGTTTGTGATGTGTGTCTCAAATTCGTAACTATCTGAGCAAGGAGCAGTTAGATTTGCCTTGACTTTAGTGGTAATAAGCAAGATGAAGGATTGTAGAAGTCAGACAGTCCTCGAGGAGGATTAATTCATTGTTGAGGAATTAAATTGGGATCTGAGATTTAGGAATTCATGCTGTCACAGAATCACAGAATGTTAGGGACTGGAAGGGACCTTGAAAGATCATCTAGTCCAATCCCCCTGCCGGAGCAGGAACACCTAGACGATGTTACACAGGAAGGCATCCAGGCGGGTTTTGAATGTCTCCAGAGAAGGAGACTCCACCACCTCCCTGGGCAGCCTGTGCCAGTGTTCTGTTACCCTTACTGAGAAGAAGTTTCTTCTCAAATTTAGGTGGAACCTCTTCTGTTCCAGTTTAAACCCATTACCCCTTGTACTACCGTCGGTTGTCACCGAGAAGAGCCTTGCTCCATCCTCCTCTTCTCCAAACTAAAGAGACCCAGCTCCCTCAGCCTTTCCTCATAAGGGAGATGCTCCACTCCCTTAATCATCTTGGTTGCTCTACGCTGGACTCTCTCCAGCAGTTCCTT